GTAGACGCGGGTGTAAACACTGAAAATTAAGCCCAGAGATTTGTCACTGGAAAGTCCCGGGGGAAGTGTGTTCCTGAAAGAGATTGTAGCAAGACCCTGGGGCAGGAATGAGCTTTGTATTTTGAGGTGGAGCAAGAAGTCCGCCTGGGCTAGGCAGACCACTAAGAGCATCTAAGAAGACACTCAATTCCGTATGAAATCATGAATTGTTCATGTTTTCCATCAATCTCTTGTTTGGGCTCAGCGGGTCAAGGAGGTGCTGCAGCGGTGGCGGTCAGAGTGAAGAGTAATAGCCACCTGCTGGTCGCAGCTGGCCAGTTACGGGAACAAAGCCCTGGAATCCCGAGGGCCGCCCTAACTCCTGAGTGTCCCTCCAGCGCCCCCTACCGACCAGCCCTAACCTGTGCTCGCTGATACAGGGACCTAAGAAATAATAAATTGCTCATTGGCACAGGGGAGGGTGGGGGTCCCCGATATTAATAAAAACGACAGAGATGGCAATTTATTGGCAACGTCGAATTATCAGTGCTTCCTGTGTCATTTATCTCGGAACAGTCAGGAGGAAGGTCGTTGGGATGGGCTGATTTAATCTGATATGCAAACAACCTAAAAATATTTGAAAGCACTTGTTCTTATGTTTTGAATCTTTTATTTCTGAAACACTCAAACACTGAGTGGGGATAATGATTCACCTTGTTTGAAAAATGAATATTTGTAGAAATATGTACAGTTTTAAGTGTTTACTGATCAAAGTGTGTACATTCTTTCAAATAATTAACTTCAATGGCTTATATATTATTTGGCTAAATATTTTAAATATTTATTATATTTTTAAATATGCATTTTTATTTATTTATGCATACAATAACTGGGGTGTCAGCCAGAGGTGTGGGGATGAGAGGATTCACCGGAGAAAGAGTAGGGAGCAGAATAGGCAGATTTACTGAATTACACTGCTGAGGGGAGCAGTGGGTGGGACAGGAGAGGTCTCCTGTGCCCTGTGGGTCAGCTCCCTGGCCGGGGATCGAACTTGTGCTGCAGTGGCTGTGGATAGCTTCACAGTACTGAGACTTAACCCCTTGGGCTGCCAGAGAGGCCCTCAATGTTTTTAAATAAATGTTTTGCATTGGAAGAATTAGATTTTTAGAAAAGTTGCAAAGATTGTAGACATATTTCTCATATATACTTCCCTCAGTATCAACATATTACATAGCCATAGTATGTTTATTATTTAAACCAAGAAACTAACATTGGCACAATACCCTTACCTAAACACAGACTTTACTGGGATTGCACCGCATTTTCCACCAATGCCTTCTTTTTCTTTTACAGGATTCAATCTGGGCTAGCACCTTGCTCTTAACATAGACTCAGTTTTGCATTTTTCTTTTTTCTCAGTGCAGTGAACAATAAATCTTGCAGACGGTTTCATATCATCGGATATAAATGTGGCTCCATTTAAACTTAGTTGCATCATATTCCCTGGTGGGGAAGAATGGATGATGTAACGGGTTCCCTTCTGAGGTGATTGTGGCTGTTTCTCCACTGTTGCTTTTCGGTTACCCTTGGACATAGGGTAACATAAAGTTGTGATTTTTTTTAAAGACTTTATTTATTTTTGCATAGAAGGATTGGGAGTAGACCAGTGGTGGGGGTGGGGGTGGGGCTTGAGAAGATTCACCAGAGACGGAGTGGGGAGCAGAACAGGAACATTGACTGAAATCCACTGCTGAGGGGAGCATCAGGGAGACAGGAGAGGTCTGCAGTGCCATGTGGGTCAGCTCCCTGGCCGGGGATCAAACTCAGGCCCTTACAATGGAAGCACTGAGACTTAAACTCTAAGTCACTGCGGAGGCCGGCGTTTTCCACTTCAGTGAATAAAGCCCACCTGTCCTCACAGAAGGCGTGGAAACCACAGCAGATGGTGTTGGCTGCACCTCTGCTTGGTCGGTGGCTTCCGGACACTTCAGCTCATTCTTTCCACTTTGTGACCTCAGGTAGCAAGAGAGAACTTGACTCCGTGGGGCAGAACTCGGAGAAGACTAGGTGGTGGCGAGACAGGCTGCACGGGCCCTTCCGTGCCAGGGTGAGACACTGGACATGCGCTGAGGGTCGGGGGGAGCCGCAGAGGGTGAGAGGCTGCACTGAGTCAGGAGCAGGCGTGGTCCTGTGGGGTGCAGGAGGAACAGCCACAGAATGGCTGCTTCTCTTTCGGGTGCTCCTGACCGCCCCATCTGGCTCGCCTCTCCCTTGTTCCCCTCTCACCCAGAGGAATAGGCCTCTGAGAGGAGGGTCCGGGCAGACAAACCTGTCTTACCAGTGAGCCTGGTCAGGCCACCCACGCTAGGCTAGTCACTAGTCAGGCTGAGCAGGCTGGTGGCCGGCGGGAGCCACAGAGGATAGTGGCAGCTGTGGAACAAGTGGAACAAAGCTGGAGGCTGCCTGTGGCCGGAAGCCAGCTTCACCCCCCAGCCCCCTGGCACCTAGGAAGGTCGGACCTGTACTAACTGCTCAGGTAAAGTGTGAGATTGTTGAGCTGAAAAATTTTTTCTCCGTGCACATTTCATGTCTTGCAGTGACACTTTTATTAACATTTAATTCTTGATTTTTGTTGGCGGACAAAAGCAATAATCACCACAGTTTATTTGGAAAATACCCAGATTTCCAAGGAAGGAAATAAAAATCCCCTCCTAGAGTCTCCTCCTCCTTAACCAACTAATGTTAACCATAGGGAAGCTTTGTTGGCTTTGCTTATTTAATGTAAACACCCTTTTTCTCTTTTTACCTGAAAAGCAGTCCTACTTGGTGTGCTGGTTTGTAATCTTTTTTCCCCAAATAGTTCCCACTACATTAAATCTTCCTTTACATACCCCAATAAGCATAATTTTAAAAAAAGATTTATTGGCCCTCCCTGGTGGCGCAGCAGGTTAAAGCACAGCACCGAGAAGCTAAAGCCACTTCC